TAACAACGGAACAAAGAGAATACTTACAAAAGGGCTTAACGACCTTGCTCTTGAATAGAAAAGAAAATATATATATGCTAATGCAATTGTTATTCACGTCTAACCAAAAGATCTATTCGCCTATTAACGACAACAAGATTAAAACATTTATTTTAATAGCAAATAAATGTAACAAGGGAAACAGAAAAAAATAGGTTCATTGACTAAAAATGGCTCCTAATATTTAATTCGGCTGAGATTTCTGATTTATGGAACCTTTAAACGCATACTAGTCAAGAGGAGGAAATAATATTTAAAGGCGGGGTGTGCGATAGACTTACCTCCACGTGGTGCACCCTGGGCAACGCATGCTCATACGGCAAAAAAGTCTATTAACTGGCAGTTGACTTCTCACTTCAAACTACCATCACCCCACTGTATGTCATATTCCACTACTTCCACACTACTCACCTCACCTTTTCTCTGCCTTTGTTTTGTCTCTTACATCTTTGAAACACTCTGCTGTTCCCCCCCCCCCTCTCCTCGACTTTTTTCAATTTGATATTCCTTCCCCTCTGTGAAGCCTGAAGTCAACTGAAGGGCTGATGATAACCATCAAGACGCCTGCCATTTGACATAAATAAATAAATAAATATTTAAAGGCATAACTCTGAATTCGGCATCTAAAAATTGTCAACAAAGGCCTCACCCGACCACGTGTTCCACGAGCTAGGTAGGATCGTGTGACGGAGATAAACTCTTCAGCGCTCAAATGACCATCACCGTCGGCGTCAAAGAGAAGGAAGACAGTGTTGACGATGGAATCATTCAATCGCTTGCCGGTCACTGCTCTAGCAGCTCGTTGAAATTCCTCTGCGAAGGGAATGAAAAACAAACGTCTTTATAATCACACAATTGCGATGATAAAAAACAGAAGTGATACTCAATAGTATTCGCATACAAGGCATGAAATATAGTTGGCCAATACACACAATCGAAAAAAAACAGATCTCAAGAAGGCTATTAGGGCCATCAAGGGAGATAAAAAAACACTTGAATAAGTAGAAAAAGTACTGATCGTCTACAGATAAAACTGTGAATTATAAATGAATAAAACTTTTAATTAGCCTTCCATAATAAATGAAAGAAAACGATTTCAAAATTCAATAAAAATAGGAGCTTAAAACGAAGATTTTATTGATTAAAGGGTCAATAAAATGACCATTAGGCTTTAGGACAGTTTGTCAAGGGGCAAAAGCTATGACCACGAGGAAGTGACCGATTAGAAGACACATTATGGCTCGGTTTAATCGTCTAACAGGGAAAGGGCATTTAGTAGAAGATTCAAAAAGGTAAAAAGAAAGTAGCTTACAGGTTCTTATAAACTCGAAGTCAACCCATCTCAGTGGTTGATCACAGTATGAGATAGAGACAAATTATCAAGAAACTTTAAGAAAATTGGATTCCCGAATATGACATTCCTGACAAAGAACCACAGAGGTGCTTATGCACATTAAATGCGTAGAAATTAAAATAATTTTAAAAAAATGTAATGACATGATAAAACCTGATATTTTCAAACAACTGCAATTAAAGACAGTAAAAAGAGCAATAATTTTGACACTGCGTCTAATACAACTGCTAGAATGTTCAGCTAACCAAATAGACTTGAACATTTCTTTAAAAAAACCATCTTCCATTCCATAAATTAGAAATAAAATGGAGAGAATAAAATTCTGCATAAAGCAAGATGTCTGGGAAATTATGTGAAAACAAAAAAATAAAAGCTAATTATACGGCAATATCTGTACCTACCCCTAGAGATGGAACGATTTGAAGCCATGAACATTTTGAGAGCTGAATAGAGATCCTCAAAACGATAAAGGAGATGGAAGAATGCCGAGTAGGCGTTAAAATCGATAGTATCCTCTTCAAAAGCGGACATATTGTCCGCTACACTTTGTAGGCCTTTCTCTTTCACCGCACAAGGCAATTCAGCGAAACGTAGAATGGCCTGAGCAAACTGAATAGGTGAAATCATGTCACACCCAAGACTGTAACGCGAGAATTCTGCGCGAAGTATTTCATTTTGAAGCCCAGATATAAATTTAAGAAAGTCCTTGTACTTCAACTTCCCACAACCGTCTTGATTGAAAAAATAGCGTTGAATAGTAGTAGGACATTGGCTTTCACATTCGTTCGACGAATTTGCACCCTTGAATTTTATATTACAAAGTCTCATAATCTACAAGGAGTTAGGAGACTTAGGTTATTCATCACCTGGAGAAACTCCGACATATCAATAGTTCCATTGGCATCTTCATCAAACATATTAAAAACAACATTCAAGTGATGACTATTGTCTACAAAAGAGATAATTGAACAAAATTTCTCTAACTCGTCAGGACTGATAGCAGGAAGAGATATTCAGAACAAGAGACAAGACCATTTCGGTCGAGAGTATGAAAAAAGGCACTGTGGTCAGATGCACGTGGTGTGTTGTGTAGAAGTTTTTCAACCATTTGGGCATCGATAACATGGCGTCTGGTACTGATTGGTGGTCGAGCACCGGTGACGCAGTCAATAAAGTCCCGGGGTGTCATAAAAGCCTCACCATTAACCTCAACCGAGGCGAATTTTAGGAAGAGACGCATGAGAGCACTCTAAACTGTTACCAAATTCAAATAATTTACTTGATTTTGGTTTTCGCAATCTGGCACAACACTAAAGATTTCGTCAATATTTTCGCATTTTTGACGAAAAGGAAGCACAAAATGAGCCGTTCCAATGGCTACGGATAAAAGAGAACCTCCTGTGATAAATCGGTGTAAGTTGCAGAACAACAAAGGCTTTCGAGACCGTTGCAGAAAGTGATTCGAAATTCTTAAGAAAATTCTATTCATTATTAAAATATCATAACGGCAGGAATAAGGCAAGCTGAACCAATTGGAGCTAGGGCAGATCGCCCGAAAGGTCGGTTAAAAAGATACTATAATATCGCAATAGTCATAACTTTTATAGTTGCGAAATTATAATGGAAATATAAATTTTTAAAAATTATTAATATAAAATTTTTTTCTATTATTTATACAATCTTTTAAGTATTATAAATGTTAAATAAGATTAAAGATCGTAAACTTCTCTAAAAAGAATTAAATATAATAACACAAATTGTAAAGAAAAACGTTCTTCTTCGCTCTCTATATCTACAACTTGCACCATTCCACCGGCCTTGAGTATTATGTTTTGTGACTGTTGCTCTCACGTTCTGGCATTTAAAATAGTTTATCTTGTTTAAGCTATAATGAGTTCGAAACGGAGAAATTTGCGAAAAAGGGAGGAAAGTGATAGTGAAGAGGAAGTTGTCCCTGAGCAACAAGTGTAATTTGATTGTTGATATATTTATGCATATATTTATAGTATCGAGCCAGCAAATGATGAAACTGATGATCCTATGAAAGAATATGAGGAGGAAGAAAAGGAGAGACAGGATGATATTAAAGAGCGTGATGCATTCGTCCAGCGTCTTCTGTCTCGTGACCATGACGCGACAAAGAAATTCGCGCGTGGTTCACGCTTCGAAGAGGACCTCAAACGTCTTGAACGGGGAGAACTGGTAAGATTGTTAGTAACTAACGAATATTTTAGTAGACTCGAGAAGAACTGATTGAGGAGCTCAAGAAAAAGTCTCGATGGGAGTACCTCAAAAAACGCCAACTTGATAAGCTGCATGAACTTGAATCCGCAATTCGTGATGAGGAAGAATTTTTCGGTGAAGATGAGTAAGATTTGTCCTTATCTTTGTAACTTTTCCCTAGGCTAACGGAGATCGAAAAAATTGATCTAAAATACAAGCGGACGATTTTGGAGGCCGCTACGGTCCACAAAGCTGTGACCGCTGGGCAAGCAGCTCAACACTATTTTATCCCAACAGAAGAAAAGGTTTTTTTGAATTCATAATGTTTACCATGGTTGTCTCTATAGCGTCCTGATGACTCCTATTATGAAACCGAGGCTGAGAAAGGACCTCATGCTGAAAATCGTCGCTGGGAACAGGAACATATCAATTCTGCATTGTTTACACTTGGTGCCAAAGATAGCAGCAAAACACAGGAGAAATACGATCTTATTTTAGACGATGAGATCGAATTCATGAAGGCACTCACCCAACCTGGATCCAATGTGACCATGGAACCAGAATTGACCCCTGAGGAATTGGCTCGGAGGGCTGCAGAGGAAAGGAAAAAGAGCCTGCAAGAAACAAGGAAGTCTCTTCCTGTTTATTCTTTTCGTGAAGCATTGCTTGATGCCATTAAAGATCATCAGATTCTTGTCATTGAAGGAGAAACAGGTTCGGGGAAGACTACGCAGATTCCCCAATATCTCTACGAAGCTGTACGTAACTTTTGATTACTTCTAGCTGTGTTTGTATATTCATTGATTACCTTTCAGAGGTTACTTCTTTTATCCTTGGCACGCCCCACAGTAGATCTAAGACTTACTAAACTAGAAATAGGAAGTCTCATCTTATTTCCATTTCACATCGTCATTAATGACTGCCTTACTGTTTACTTGCATATCATTATTAGAGTCGTTATTACTTTAGATAACAGCTTAAGCTAAGGCTATTGTAAGTTCTATGCATCTTATTTTATACACCGCGATTAACTTACACGCCTGTTAAGTCATAGGTCACCAAATCCCACTCTGGCCATTAAAATAGTTTCTTTTGAAAGTCGGTACTTCTATTCAATTAATTTTTTTGTAATACTTCTGTCAAAGGACTGAGTTACTTTTCCTCTAATATCTCTATGTAGCTCATCTTGTTTTATTAGAAAAAAAATGAGCAATTCATCTATTATTTGTTAAAGTTTACTTCACTACGGCACGTCTCTATTTTATAATTGTTTTTTATTTAATTTATTGAGCTAAAGGGTATTAATTCCTCTCGTATCTCATGTAATCCAGTGTGACCAGTCAATGTGATCATTGACTTGGGTTTCTTGTTTGATTAGCACCCCTTTCTTGTCATTGTCTTCCAGGAAACCTTCATTTACTTCGAAATCTACTTTAGATGAACAGCCTTAATAACAATTGAGGATCTATCTAGTTTATTATAATGGCTAGGGTCAATTAATTTGCTAATTATACAATATATCGTTTGATAATCTATTTTCAAAGGAATTATTTTTGCAGATCAATGTATATATTCTTTACATTAACAAGTTGTTTTTTAAACTATTCGATTGAATAGGCCACATCATCACTTAGTCCTGCTGGTGCAATTGTTGTATGTTTCTTCGTCCCTCTTTCAGGGTTACTGTGTCAACGGAAAGGCCATTGGTTGTACCCAACCCCGTCGTGTAGCCGCGATGTCTGTTGCCGCACGCGTTGCCCAGGAGATGAATGTCAAATTGGGAATGGAAGTCGGGTATTCTATTCGTTTTGAGGATTGTACCTCTGATCGCACTGTGGTGAAATACATGACCGATGGTATGCTGTTGCGCGAATTCCTCACTGAACCGGATCTCGCCTCGTATTCTGTGATGATGATTGATGAGGCGCATGAACGAACACTGCATACGGATGTCCTCTTCGGTCTCGTCAAGGTATATCTGCCCTATCAATTACCTTTTCTAGTTATCATGGCAGTAGTGTACAGCTTATCGTGCGTTTTGTAATGTGAAACGCGGCTAATCAACTGTAGATTTACCCAATTATTGCTTCTCATAGAAGTTGTTAATACCCTTCTCCTTAAGTATTAAATTTATTTATTTATTTCAAATGGCAGGCGTTATGATAGTTATCATTAGCCCATTTAGTTGACTTCGGGCTTCACAGAAAGGAAGGGGAACATCAAAGTGACAAAATGTCACGAGGGGGACAGAAGAGTGTTTCAAAGATGTAAAAGAGACAGACACAAAGGTAGAAAAAAGGTGAGGTGAGTACTGTGGAATTAGTCGATTATAAAATGCAGTGGGGTCTTGGTTGTTTGAAGTCAGAAGTCAACTGCCTGCAAATAGACAGGGTTGTTTGAAGTCAGAAGTCAACTGCCTGCAAATAGACATTTTTTGCAGTATGAGTATACGTTGCCCAGGGTGCACCACGCGGAGGTAAGTCTATCGCACACCCCAGTATTAAATATATACTTTCCTTCACTCTCATATTAGTGATACGCTGTATTCAATGTGTTTGTCCAATCAGATGTTGCTCATTAGTTTGCTTTCAACAGCGTAGTCTACAAACGACTCCCGAAGTTGGTTGAATGTGAACATCTCGAAAGAGCGGCCTTTGGGCAACTTTACACTCTCACATTCAGCTATTTTTGGCTTTAGAAAAACCACAACTCGTAGCTAAATTGTGTAGTCTATCAACTCGGAGGCTATGTGATTGGAGTTGATTGATGTGCAACCTTTTTGTAATGGACGTTCCATAAGCGCACCTCCAAGCTACTTTACATCCATTTTTTTTCAATTTGCAGGATGTAGCTCGGTTCCGACCGGACTTGAAGCTCCTAATTAGTTCTGCCACACTAGACGCTCAAAAGTTCTCCCAATTTTTCGATGATGCACCCATCTTTCGAATTCCCGGCAGAAGGTATCCCGTTGACATCTACTACACAAAGGTAGGATATTCTGTATTCTGTGTATTTTGGTCATTGGATGGCAAATTAATAGGTGATATCGACGCTTACTTTTAAAAAATGCATCTGAATACGTTTTGTAGCGCCATTGTACAGCACTTGTGAAATCTTGCTAAAGCATATGTCGACCTTGTTTTAGCATACTAGTGGTGTTATTTCGATGAAAACCTAAAAGGTGAATGGCTCTAGACGTCTTTCTAAAATACATTGTCATTGGTTTTACTCTTACTTTGATCCATCCTTCGGTTGTAGGCACCTGAAGCAGACTACATAGAAGCCGCGATCGTAACCGTACTCCAGATCCACGTGACTCAACCACCAGGAGACATTTTGGCCTTCTTCACCGGTCAGGAGGAAATCGAAACAGCCAATGAGGCACTTCTTGAACGAACAAAGAAAATGGGCAGCAAAATGCGTGAACTCATTGTTCTCCCTATCTATTCCACTCTTCCCTCAGATATGCAGGTCACTTTCTCATTCCATTTTTGGATGGTCGACTATTTTATGTACCTTTTTTTTCGGCTGCATCCTACCCTAAAGTGTTTCTAGAAGGTGGTAATGGGGTTCCTTTTATAGATGAAAATGGGCTGTCTTTGTTATCGCTTACGCCCTAATTAACACGGATGACTTTGGGGGCTTTCTTGAATGAAAAATCATTTTGCTCAAAGTAAAATTTATTTATTTATAACAAATGGGAGGCGTTTTGATAGTTATCATTAGCCCTTTAGTTAACTTCGGGCTTCACAGAGGGGAGGAGGAACATCAAAGTGAGAAGAATTCAGAAGGAGGAATAGAAGGGTGTTTCAAAGATGTAAAGGAAACAGACACAAAGGCTCAGAAAGGGTAAGATGAGTAGTGGTAGGGGTCGAATATGACATACAGTGGGGGTGATGGTTATTTGAAGTGAGAAGTCAACTGCTCATTGATAGACTTTTTTGCCGTATGAGTATACGTTGCCCAGGGTGCACCACGTGGAGGTAAGTCTATCGCACACCCCGCTCAAAGTAAAATAAATGGTAGGAA